TGATATTAGAGCATTTCATTTTGATACCCTTTTGAATAGGTGAGGTCCGTCCTCGATGGCACATAATGCAAAATACACATCCATACTCTTTTCCTCAAAGCGAAAGCTCCCGGCTAAACCGGTTCTATCTCTCTATAAAACAAAAAGAACGACGAAAGTTATAAGAGAGCACAATAGTTTTGTTTCAACAAAGGATTTAAAACATCGAAGCTTAACTTAAAGTCACTAAACTTTACTGTGTGAATAAAATAAAATTTCCCCATGTAAACCGACCTCCCCTGCTCAGAGTCGGACTCGGGATTACTTTATGTTTTTGTACTTCATTTAAGGTTAATGGATTTGTTTCTAATTAGATGAGATTCGTGAAAAATTGAGAGAAAAATTGCAAGTTTTAATTGAAAAATTATAATTAGCTTTCTACGAGTTCTAAGGAAATTCTAAATGGTTTTATGATCTCTTTCTAATGGATCTCTATATCTATAGTTCTAAAATGGGTTAGTTCTAAGAAGTTCTAGCTGGTTTTGAACAGTTCTAAAACTGTTTATTTATAATGTTCGTTAGGAAAGTGAAATAATGTAGTAAATATGTGATAGAGTCGGATTGGTTTTAAAATATGGGAAATTTATCGGATCCCGACCTGCGCACGTAGACCCGGTGTTCAGGATGACCAATTTATAGGTACCAGTTCAGTAAGTTATTGTACACGATCCGACGAATATTTATTCTGGTTCACTCAAGCATAAAAACGAAGAATGACCTGGGTAATTACTTTATCCAATGCTGCAAAAAAATCCTGCACTTTTCTCGTTATTTCTATTTTTTACCACTTGTTTTTCGTTGCGAATATAACTATTTTTTTTACGTGAAAGCAGCTTTCAAATTACTACCACAAACCGAAATATTTCTAAAATATATTTAACTAGATTTTTGTTGTCTGGAGCATCCTGTATGATATAAAAAGGTAAGGTAATACACGGAGAAGTATCTCGACCCTTACAAGAATCCTCAACGTTTTCCGCGTAATTTTTTTTGCCCCGTTCTCAAAGCTCATCCGAGCTTTTATGTAACGGTTCGTTAGATTCGAGTACTGAAAATTTATTTGATGTAGATGTAGTTTAATTCTATTTGGTAGCTTTTACCGTATTACATGTAACTTTGTTTGTTCATAATTAAGTACAAGTATTTTTCGAGTAATTTCGCACAAACACCGACAAAACGAAACTGTAAATTTGCATTTTAATAAGATTTCCTTTTGGGTGCTCGGTTTATTTGCTTTCATAAATTTCCTTTTGTTTAATTCCTTACTCGATTTCGCTGGGCTGTTGGTTCCTGTAATTCCAGTTTGAATAGAATGATGGATATAAAATGGTTCCTAAATCATTTCTCTAACAGGACAATCTACTACTGTGTTATTTTTTTCCCTGTAGGAATTGTATAAAACAAGAATTTTGTCCGCGTTTCTGTGGCACTTCGCGCGGGTCGGGTGAAGGTCTTTCTGTCCTTCGTTTCACCTCATTCTCTGAATCTAATTATGTTTGCAAAAGTTTCAGGGTTTGTAAAATGAAATAACTAACATTAGCGAAAATTGTACAGTATATTAAAAAAGGTAGGTACTATTATTTTTTTAGTATTTTGAATAATTTCAGAAATATCTTGTACCGAAACAGCTTACAGGGGAAGTATCTAATACAATTAAATTTACCTCAATATAATTCGTTTATACATTATCACGAAACAATTTGTATTTCGCTACAAATTAAAATAAGCAAATGAAATGGAAATTCTGCAATTTAAACTTGATCGTTGCAATATAACTTGCGTATATTACAACGTTCGGACTGTAATTCAACGGATAAATCTCGTCCGCAATCATCAAACCTTATTATTTCGATATTAAACTGTATACGAGATCAGAACGCAGATTAAGCATTCGATTTCTCACTAATCTTATTAGAATTATAATTAATTACAGTCGTCCAATTAGATTCCTCTTTGATTACTAAAGTATACTTCATACTACGTTAAAAAATGTAGGAGTACTTACAGACCGATCGAAATAGCTAAAGATGCGATGCGCGACAACTGATTCTTGACGATAATAAAGCGGATTTGTATTGAATTACAATGTTCGGTAGTTATTTTAATGAGGCCGGCTTATTCAAATCGACGCACGCGACAGTGAATACATACAAAGTAGCCTAAAAACTCGAAAACGTGACGTTTTCGACAGATGCCTGATGGATAGGCTCTCGTGGAAGCGTCAGGTGCGCGCGAGATTTTTGCACCACCTGTTGAGCTTTGTATTAAAAAGAAAAAAGCTTTTTTATTGTCGTCTAGAGGAGGTGATGAAATGGGTTAAAAAAACCGAATTTTAGGTCGTTTAGATTTTAAAAACCAGAAGGGAATTTCTATTAGAAAATCGGTAATGGATTCCGCCGAACCGATCGTATAAGCTTAAACAATATATCGATTAGAGACCGTAAGAGGAAAATCAAATAACGATAAATCGCCGGGTCCATTCTCTCCGGTCGCATCCCTTATAGGTATTCGGGCGATTTACCTGACAGCTATGAAGAAAATTTCATTTCTAGTCGGAGATGGCGTTGTAAAAACGGGCCCGACAAAGCGTTTGTTCGCGATCAAAGGAAAAAGAAAGGGGGGGCCAAGTGCGGGGCGGAAATTCGAAAAGTTTGTAAATAACGTTATATTGCAGGGATTTTGTTTTATAGAGGGATTCTTGTGTAGCTTTTTGAGTGGGCCAAAAAAACAAACAATCGCGATTCGGTTAATTATTTGCAATTAAACTATAGCTGGGAATTAAGAGGCAATTTATTCGACAAAAAACTAGTTAATTAACTGCAAATTGTTGTTTTGGGAATTACCTTTTTGTGTAACTAATTAAAATCGCGATGTAGAAAAATGTTTTCCGCTAATTGGTTGGAAGTATTTTCTAACGATCCTCGGAGCAAATCGAGTGGAAGCTCTCGTTGTTTTCCGGGAGTGAGCAATAGGAAACTTTGTTTTGACCGTCGCGGGAGAAATTTTAATTTAATTAAATAAATAATTCCGCACGGAACAAATTTTTATTCCATATCCGATTCTGTTTATTTTTCATTTAAAAATGCCCGTTTTTCGCGGAAAAACAGAACCGCATACATACCTATTTAACGAAAAACGAAGACAATTCCAAAAACAACAAAAAAAATACGCGGGATCTAAAATAAATGGAAATTTTATTCGGAACAGAGTAGGGTATTAAAAGTTTAGAGAGTTCCTCTTATGAATGTTAATAAATTCAACTTTGCATATTCCTCTCAAGTTTCTTCTCCGAGAAATATGCAATAATCGTTACAAATAAGTTTGTTGCGAAATTAAACCACAATTTCTCTCTACTTTTAATGCACATTTCCACCTATTAATAACCTTTCACAACGGAAAACTAGACGCCAAACGTCCTGGAATATATTTTAATTTTCCGGATGAATCCGTGTGTGTTTTCTAAAAGAGAAACCGGAACCCGACGTTTTCCCCCGTAATCGAATTACAGTCGAAGCATTTCCGAATTCGCGAATTCTTACAAGGGCTTAATCGACTAATCCTTTATAATAACACGTTTCGAGTTTATATTTATCGTGAGCTCAGCGACGGCAAACACGACTGCCTTAATTCAGATTAGAACAGATTAAGTTTATTACATGTGCAATTAATTTAATCCGGGTTTATTTCGGAGTTTCTGATTAATTTCGATAAGCGCCCGGAGATAAGGGAGAAATCGTCTCGAGTTTTGGAAATTCGATTTTTTTTAAGAAATCGCCTCACGTTTTTTACGCGCGGGATATAAAAAAAATCGGTTGTGTGTTAAATGATTTGTGAAATCGGTTTTTTTTTTCGTGTTGTTGTTGTTGTAGTTGTTCGTTGTTCTCGGCGCTGTTGCATTTCATCGGGCGCATGTTCCGGGGGTGTTTTTCGTTATCGACTAGTTTCCCCAGCAGCCACTTTCGACGAGTGTATAAACACGCGAGCGATTTTTTTAAGGAGATTCACGTTTCCATCGGCATCGCGCATTTTTCACAATTAAAAACCGCCGACGTTTTCGCATATATGCAAGCCCCACCAGCGCCATTATTTTCGGGCCGGCTTTTTATATTTATTTTCATATTAAAATCAATAATCCCGCCGCCGCCGCCGCCGCCATTCCTGCTTGCTTGCACTCTGTCTTTCTCGTTTGATTTCCATTCGTCGTTGCAAACAGACATTCCGGAATTGCGATATTTATTTTCAATTTGAATTATAATCGCAACGACCATTGACGTACCCGCGGGAATTTCCCGCAGTAATTCCGCCCCCCACTGTATCGGTTTCGTTGGTTTTTTTATTTATTTTTTTTTTATTTTCCACTCGATTTCGAGGTGAAGAGCGTAATCGGCGCGAACGCCCGACAAACCTTCGAAATCGGTGTTAATTGCATAAAGAGCCCTATCCCTCGGGGCGCCTTAAAGCCGACGCTTCGCCGTGAACGCGGCACGGCGCCCGTCCAAGGCGTCCCGACGCCGGAGACGGATCCACCGCCTGAGCCGATTAGAACAGGTGTCGCCGAAAAAAAAAATAAATAAAAGAGGAAGAAGAAAACCGGCAAGGACGACGTAGGAGAGTCAATGGGAGGGTGGAATGGAGTAGGGTAGGTTAATAGGGTAGGATGAAAAACGGGGAAAGGAAATCGACATGGACGATGTAGGAAAGTGGGGTAGGGTAAGTATGAGAAAGGGAATTTTTCTTCATTAATATCTTCATAATTATCATCATTATATTCTTCTTGTTTCACCAAAATAGACATTTTTAGAACATAGGCTAGATTGTTTGTTGTTTCATCATCTAATCACCGTTCACCATGCGGATCTAAATTTGCCATCCGAGAATTGCTATCCAATAATAATTTTTGTTCGCCATTAACTGTGCTATGAACGGCGCCGGAGCCGTCGTTGGGTTTTGCTTTCCGGAGGTCAGAAACGGGGAAGGGCCTTTCGCACGACGACTTCCCCGGTTTCGGGGTTATTGTGGAACAGGTGGTACCGTTTTGGGGCGGCCGGCGGCGGCGGCGGCGGCGGCGGCGGCACGCTTTTCCTCGAACGAGGCGAGAGAGAGGAAAAGGCGGAACGGGCGGAAAACGTCCGGAACAGCTGTTTCGGCCGGCCCGTCGGTTTGGATTATCGGTCGACTTTTTGGCACCCGCGATGGTGTATTATCCTCTTCGTTTGTAGCCGGCCCGGCACGAAACCGGCGGATTTTCGCGGTGTTTTTCCGATGAATTTTCGGGGAAAGTTAAGCGAAAGAAATTGAGTTTTTTTTCTCCATATATTTTTCGAAATATACCTACCTAATAAAACCGAATGAGGTCTAATAACAAAATAACACACACGTGTTTGATATTACATCGTTCCTTTTACGGACGTTTTTCCTTCATCTTGTTCGCCCTCTGTTTCGCCATTTATATGGAAAGTATTCCCTTGCAACAAATCGCAAACGACGCGAAATTTGATTGCCATTAAAGCGAAACTCAAAGGAAACGTCATCGCCAAGAAACACATTGAAAAATTTAAATTCGTAATGCTTTTGTACCGAACATACTACTCGAAAACGGCAGAGGTAATTTCGCAGCGAACAAGAATTTTTAATTTTCTCGTTGCCTCGTTCCTGCCATTAGTTTTTTCTCCGCTCGATACGTTTACCATATACTCGCACTATTCCTGCTACACCCATCAAAAATTATGCCTATTATTCCGAAGACTGTTCCAAATCCGGCCAATTCCCGAATCACGTCAGGGCTAACGGATAAATCCGAAGTTAAAACCTCGCGGGCGTCGGGACGCCCGAGCACGCCGCTGGGCCGGCGCCCTCCCGTGTGTGTGTCGCGCGCCGCGAGCGCCGCTCGAGGGGACGCCGAGCACCACGAGGTCCATCGAACATCTCCGAGGAGGAAGCGTTGCCTCCGCCGAGGGGGCCGGCATCTGCGAGACCCCCATCGCTTGGCCGGTCGCCCGCCAAATCCAGGTAGCGCTCTACTCGCCAAATCCAACAATTTCTAACGAATACTCGTTTAATATCTCGAAAATATAGGTACATAATTTACTTTTTAAAACTGGACTTAACAGACTGTATCTTCTTGAGCAGGATCTGGTTCTCCCTGTTGATGCGGGCGTCCTCTTTTCGCTTGTTGATGGTGAGGCTGGATATCTTGTTGGCCGCTTGGTGGTAGTACTTGGGCGGCACTTTGTACTGGTTGGCGCGGCGCGTGTGCGACAGGATCTTCTTCATCAATATGCCGTTGGTCCTGTCGATGTCTCGGAGCTGGTCGTCGTTGAAGGTCACGTTGCGCTTGGACGAGCTGGAGCACAGCGACACCGACGTGTTGAAGTGCGGCTTCAGGCCGTCGCGGTCCGCGTAGTCTTCGTCCTTTTCGAAGTCGTCGTCGTAGCGATCGTCGTCCTTTTCGTCGGCGGCGTCCTCGTCGAGGAGCATCGGACGTTTCGTCGCGTCCAGCGAGTCCTCGTCCTCTTCTCTCGAACGAATCTCGCTCGGTTCGTCCTCGTCCTCGCCCGCTATTTCTTTGATCGTCGCGCACGTTATGCAATCGGAAAAGTCCGGATTACTGTCCGTATCCATCGGCGATTGTGTAGAAAACTGGATGGCGGTAAAAAAATCCAAAAACAGTTAGACAATCGGAATGTCGATGTGTCAAGTATTGCTGATCTAATGGTGGGTTTTATCCATTTGGATCAACCAATCAACGTGCTGGATTGTAAGTTTGTCTGGAAACTAGTTCTGAGATAAAATGATTGAACATTTGGATTCGATTGACATGGAGCAATCTTCAAAATATTGCTACTACAGTTTCTCCAGTTTCTGGTTCCTTCGATTGTTGTTTGTTTGTATAACAGTTTCTCCAGTTTCTGGCTCCTTCGATTGTTGTTTGTGTTAACAGTTTCTTCAGTTTCTGGCCCTTTTTACTGTTGTTTGTGTGTATAACGGTTTCTCCAGTTTATGGGTGGTTAGTGTATATAAAATGGAGCGTTACCCTTTAGATGGTTTTGGTTTATTCCCTTCATATTTGAAGATATGCCGTCGCATCGATCCCGGCGTTGCGACGTTGCCGGCTCGAGGCGCATTCCGCGACAGCCGTCGGCGCGGCAACGTCGACCACAAACATTGATTCTTTCCATTATAAATAGTACGCAAAAAATGCGTTCCTATATATCATCTCCCCCAGACGTGCTTTGTGGCCCGGAAATTTCATTTTATAACTTTTATAACCGGCCTGCTTAATAATTTCATTTCCCCGTGTATACAATCACACACGCACTCTCACGCTCACGTCATGTGTGGAAAATGCTTCGGTTTTTTTTTTTTGTTTTATTATTTTTATTTTGCTCTTTCCTCGTCCGGACGGGTGGCGTTAATTAAATTTTTTGGATGTTTGGATAGAGACCTTTTTCGGGTCCGGTCGGATCCAATCTAAATTTAATTTTCTGCTGCAACTATTTTTTATTGGATTCAAACATCCGTTTATGCGAAGTAACCGATTCCCGTAAAAAAGATTAATTAACCAAAAAAAACCTATTCATATTTCGAATTACCTTGCAAGATGGCGTTTTATAATAAATCGGTGAATTATATTAATATTACTTTCGTGTAATTACGCAAGAACACGGTTATTAAAGCGAATTATATTACATTACATTATCTAGGTATACCTTTTTTTAATTTACAACGCACGTCCATCAGAGAAAATACCGTTGACCCACTTTCGACTAATTCATTACGTTTAATTGAACGAAGAAGGAAGAAGAGAAGAAGATTCAAATTTAGTCCCGACTCAACCGAATTACACATTTCATTTGGAAAGAACGACCCTCTGGTATTTACTTATTGGATTCCCCGGGCCGTTTCGGCGTCCCGCCGCGCCCCCGCCAGATGGCGGCACTAAATTCCAATATACCTTATCTCGTGAAATATTAGAGCAATAATAAATATTTTCTCTCGACTTTAAATATTGCGCTCGCTTCACTCACTTAAGATCATAGACGAGTTTCGCAAGTTTCGACGGGATTGCGGATTTAGTCTCGTCGATAATAAAAAAAAACGTTAGGTTTTAAACCCTAATACAAACTCTCACAGTAACTTGTGACCTGTATCAACTTCAGAGTAGTTCTAAATAAAATTTTCCAAGACATATCTGCAATCATAAGTAAAATTTGATGCATTTTGTGGTGTGATTCTTTGTGTTCAATCGCCGTTACTACTAATTTCCTAACGGTAAAAGTATTATCCTGCTGACAACTGTATTAATTCGGGTCGTAAATCACAATATAAACGATTATTATTTCTTTTTCGACGGATTTCATAATAATATATTGAAAGCCATCGTTTACGAGTTGACAATGATTGAAAATCCGAACGGACGCGCGATTGGAGAGCGCGTATTTTCCAGTAATTAACTGCAACAAAAAATCCTTTTTTTTAACGGATATTTTTATTGTCGAAGTTAATATGAATAACTATCCTTTTTGTCTTTCAAATAAATCTCCGGCGTTAGTTGTTTGGGATTTTTTCGAAGCGATTTGTTTAATTAATAATAAATCGCCCGATGGATTTATTTAAAAAATTAAAAGTGAAACAACAAAGTGAAAAGATTAGAGATCGGCGTTTAAACGCAGACAAAATACGATATGATGTTCCTATTACGATGTTGCTACAACGCTGTCAGTGTTCACTGTTCAAGTTTTGTTGGCCCATAAAATAGTTTTATGTCCTCTAACAGGTTTACAACCCCTGTTTAATTCCACATATTTGCGTCAGTTTATGCACTAATATAACTAAAATTTAATGCCGAATATCATTCTCTAGTGGTAACGATTTTAACGTTGAATGTTAAATTGAAAATGATGAAGATAAGCTTATAAAATGAAACATTTTACGCTCGCCTCGTCTGGCAATTATTTGTTATTCAAGTTTTAACTATATCAAAATCCCGTTCCGTGTAATTAGGGCGTTTTTCTTTTTCACATTTCCAATTTAATTAGGCATCTTCAATAACTTATTTTAACAGCGCGATTTAATAGAGCCGAACGAAATCGAAAATTATTTTTAAACGAAAAGGACATTTTGATAGAAACGACGGCCATAAATCCGGGCGGAATTACAAATATTTCAATAGGAATTGGTCTGAAAGAGACAACCGAATTTTATCTATGGCATAAATGACCAATATATTCCCTTATTCAGGACGTAATGCCAAGGATTATTTTTCGACGTCGAAACGAATTGTCACCTACAATCATGCCAAATAATAATTTATTGACGCAATTTGTACATGAACGCTAATCAATAAAAATTTATATAAAAACCTCCAAGTAATTACGTTATTGCATTAACTTCTCTATTATCATCAAAGTGCGAAAATAAAACACACAAAACGAAACTCCCTTGCGAGTATGCGTTCTAAAGGTTATTTTGTTTGGATAGAAATCGCGCGAAATGAAACTAGAATAGATGTATTTCGATAAAAATCCGGGCAAGAAGGTTCGGAAGTCGAGTAATAAACTTTCATATAAACTTTTTTTTCGCCGTGTCTTTGTAGAATCCTGAGTGAATTGCGAAATACCGATGGCACGGCGGGATTCGGAAAAAGGAGCGGAATGAGAGAAATAGAGCCATGGAAATATATCATCATACGGAATAATGAAATTTCTCGGCAACGAAAAATAAGATAGACTGTTTAATATCTAAAAGTATGTAGAATATTGAAAAATACACGTGAGCCCGGGAAACTGCGCGCCCCGCCGTGGAAATTGAGAAATACTGGAAAACTTGGGAGGGCTAAGGGGTTGTTGGTGGAAGCAATATAATGTAATGCAAATAGAATAGAAGTTTCAGTCGTAAAAATCGGCCGGGATATTACTTCAGGTCGACGGTTTTTCCTATATATTACCGGATTCTTCCAAGATTGTTAATTTTTTCTTCCGAATATATGTACATCTAAAAAATTTGCATTAGGTACTTCATTAGGAAACAATTTCGTCCACTGAACCGCAACCAATTTGTTCATTAAGTAAATTTTCTATCGAAAGTTAATTGAAGTGCGCCGTTCAATAATTCATACAGAACTTAACTCGTTAATTTTTTTCTTCTAAATGGCATCAGCATTTGAATAAAAGCTTAATATTTTCCAAAGGCGACATCGTTCATGTTAGATACATACCGAAGCGTCGATTCCTTAATTGGACGCATGTTATCTGTACGTGATAATTCACGACAACTAGGCTGGACAACATTCTTGAGGATATCCAAGCATTGCTGTTCGCACTCATACGAAATTTATATTCCGAAAGGAAATCTATACAGAATTTATATCGGAAATTCGATTGTGTCGATCCCAAAGTTGTTTGTTTTTTTTTTTTTGTTAATTCGTCGAACGCTAATTGACTTCGAAACGTTGTCGACGAGAAAACGGGGAATTATGAGAGGAAATCAACATTGTTTGAACCAATGACTAGCGCGTAATCACATTTGTCGGGCAAAGGACGGGGCTTTATAGTTCATTTTCCGCGGAAAAAGGTTGTTCCAGGCCGCTAGTTCTCTTTTGCCTCTCAAAGGTTAATGCGTGGCAAAAGGAAACTTCCAGCGCCCTTACGCCGAATTAGTTTCGTTAAGGGCGCTTCATCGACGATGCCCTCGTTCTTACGCCTCAGCTGAAGATATATTTTGTTTATAATTTTACTTTGCTACGTTGGTATAGCGAGAATCGAATATTTATCCGAGTGTTAATCCCTTTAATAATTCATCTAATTGTAATGAACTATTTTTAGACGAAAATGCGATTATCCGAATTTTCCCGAAACAATCTCGCGAATTCCTACATAATTAATTTCCGTTATATTACACAAAAACTCATTTCTGGAGATAATGCCCTGTGTTCTGAACAGAATTAAATAACACAATCCTGATGAATTTCCAACCAGTATTCTCTAAAGAATCAGTTAAATTACTTTGTTAAATTATCGCAAACCCATTTAGATTAGAAGGGTAGCTCTGAACAAACCCTCTCCCCACCAGGACCGTCTTCTTCCCGCTTCTCCCTTAGTTTCACGAAATTCTTATTATCATAAAATAATCAACAATTCTACCAATTCAAACTTTGTGAAAATACTGTATGCAACCCCTTTTTATATCTAATCAAATGAAATCGTAAGTAACAAACAATTTGTGAGTAAGAGGAAGCGAATAAATCAATTCCGAGTCCGGTTCTGCGCCCTAGGGCCCCCGACCCTTAGTCAATTTATATTAAAAGAGATTTTGCTTCCCTTTCTGTCATTTCATATTTCTTTACAAAACGACTTAATCTAAAAAGAACAGCTGAACACGGATATATATGAAAAAGAAAAATTCTGTGTTATTCCTGAAAAATCTTTCTCCGGGCTCCATCGTATTTTTTGCGGACGAACGCGGAAAGGATTCTATAAATTAATCTAACTGGTGCTTTCTGTAAATGGATCATTTTATTAATGTAATAGATATAATTGATAGAAATAAATGATAAAAGCACTCTCTTTTAAACTTCGAAGCACAAAGTGATGAGTTTAATAAATTAATGAGATAATAAAATT